TATGAATGCATAATTTCTGCATGCATAATCATGATGAGTCTCCTGTAGGATAAATCTAGGAAATAGTACCTCATTTATACAAGTTTTGCTAAAATTAATGTTTTCTTAACAGTGCACTGTTACAGTATTGACCACACTATCTTGTGCCTTAGATATGTAGGTATATCACTTACCTATTTCGACTCATATAACGCATTATATCTTAATAGGTGTGTTAGGTTATATAAATTTGAGCACAAGCAATGAGCTATTTCACGAAGAGTTTGCTTTTTTCGCCATCACGATGGTTCCATTGCTACTTTGCTACAAAACGTTTTCTCGGCCCTTTTTGTTTGAATGTTTATAAGCCCTACGAATAATAGTAAACTTTTGTACGATTAACGTCTTAGAGATCTAATTTTTAAAAGACAGCAGGTACAGGTACTACAATTGTTCGAGAACTATAATAGTAAACTTAAAACACACTTTTCATAAAGAACCTTTTAAGGCGGCCTTCATCACCATCATTCATCAACAGCCTTTCATAGTCCACTGCTGGACATGGGCCTCTCCTTAGAAAGGAGGTTTTGGACTATACCACGCTATACTATACTTTAAGGCGGCATTTCTTTTAATATGTAATGTAACGGAAATAAATGTTGTAACCATGAAATTATTCAATTTAATAATATAATGTACCTACCTTCTGCAAATAAATATATTTTTGAATAACTAAGTGTTAGGTAAATTCGTAGTTATTAATTACCTACTTAATACTTATTGTATTACTGCCTCGGTGGCGTAGTGGTAGAGTATGCGACTGCTGTTCTGAGGTCTCGGGTTCGATTGACGGGTCGAACCAAATGTTTGTATGCTCTGCAAATTTTTGTTTCAAAGTTTGGGTGTTTTCTATGTATCACATCACATCACATCAACAGCCTTTAATAGTCCACTACTGGACATAGGCCTCTCCTTAGAAAGAAGAGTTATAATATGTATATATTTACAAAAAGTATACAAGTATCCTATCAGTCAATCTAGTATTCATAGTACAAGCTCTGCTTAGTTTGAAACTAGATGGCGTTGTGTGCTAGATGTCTGAAATATTAAAATACATGTTAATAAATATTAAAACACTTTTATTATAACTAACGCTGTTGAATACCATGTCGTATTACTTGAATTAGTGATACTACGATAATACTAGTATGAACCTTTTCTCAGTGCCACAGATATCATAGAAGATATTTATGCTCAATGCAATAGATAATAAACTAGCTAAGCCTGTTTTAAAGATTGTGTTGATATACAGCTATCAGTATTGATAATAATCGAAGAGTTTATTACCTAATGTGTCACTACATCCTATATGATATTGTGTACATGTACATTTATGAGTGAAGTTCATAAATCCAACAAGGTTACTTCGTTGGTAATAATTACATAAACAAGTTAATTATTGGATATGATTGTCAAGAATCAAATAAGCTTAACTCGATTAGGTTACGTCATTTCTTTTACACAGTTACTTAGTTATCTCTGCCAATTTCATTGAATTAAAAGTTCTTTTCTTTTACCATCACTACTAAGTAGTACACTGTAATACCGTGTCGTGTGGGTACACCACGTCAAACATTGCATTTGGAGATGATAATTGTTGGTTATCATTTTCCTACTATTTGACGATATAATGTATATATGATAAAACATACTCTTGGATATTATAAAAGACTAAAATCTTTAATAATAGTGGAAAAAAGAGAAAAGTTTTTTATTGGGTAGTTACCACAAAAAAAGTCGTGTTTTGTCGGTCATTGCCAAGTGCTGTCGTGAGCACGTTTTCGTTTATCCTAAAAAAAACTAGAATTTAGAATAACCAATCACATTATCGCTCGCCCTATTATCTCATCCATGGCCAAAGTAGGTTTTTAAAGAACTTTGTATTTATCAACAAGACCGCTCGGCCTTTTCCTCTGTTTTTAATCACCAATCATGTATGCTTAAAAATTGGATAACGGGTATCAGTATTCAGTTTACCGCCGGAAACAAGACCAGTTTGTGAACAGGAGATAAATAAAACTACAACCGGAAAATGACTCAAACACATTGCACATTAATAACCTAATCATTCATATAGTACCTACGCGTGATTCACTGCTAAAAATAATGTATAAATAAAAACAATCCTTAAATATGGCTAAAAAGGTTAAAAATGGCTGTAGATGTGGCCATTTTTGATCGACTTCCTTTAGCTTCTGGAAGGATTGAGATGTCGTCTATTAATAGTGGGGCGCGTCTATTTATAATGGTTACACCTAAATGTCAACAGGTTTGGTTAGGGTCAGTTTTAATGACGACAAAGAAAAATAAACAATACCACCGTTCTCTTACCTTAGTTATCGTACAATGCGAGCATCCACACCTTGAATGCGAAATAATTAACTTTAAAAAGTTATCAGCTACTTCAATTAACCCAAAATCAAAGTTAAATTGTTGTAAGCATCCTTAGTCCTATAATGTCCTACTTAAAGAGATGGTATATTTTCTTTAGATTCCAGAAAAAAAGAGAAATTATTGAAATGCACTACCTGAGCCCATATGGTACACAAAAAAAACTATGAACTAAGGACCTCCTTTTTGAAGTATGTTTTTCTTTTTCGAGAGACGTGATTATCGTGTACTCTAATAACATTTCCTATTGTATTGCGAATTTAAACAAAATCCATAGCCTCTGGTGGTCCAAAGTTTAATGTTAAAGAGTCACTGCGACTGCCGGCATCAGAGCGACCACTAAGGTGGGCACTGAAAATCAGTACTGAGGTGGCATCTATCCACGACAGTGTACACTGAGGGTCCACCTATTTTCTGAAGCACGGTGTACGATCCTCAGCAACCTTAAAGGTTTTTATTGTACATAGGTTAATAAGTATTAGTTTATAAGTACTAACATAGTAGTAGATAGTACCTACTAACATTATTAATAAGTAAAATTTTATAGACGCGTGGTTGGATACGTGGCACATTTGTCCTGTCAATTCTGTCAGCTATGAAAGATTAATAAATTGAAAAATGTTGCCATTATCAAACCTTACTTGATTTTTAGTTTCTTTGTGTATGCTGTTATTTAACTTTGTTTTATTCTTGTATGCTGTGCTTTATGAAGTTTTTACCCTATCATACATACAATAAATATATACGTTTTAAGAAAAAATGTATGTTTAGTGGCAGTCTAGTTACCATAGCACAGGTTCTACTTAGTTCGGGATCAAACTGCTGTGGGTGAGTTGTAAAAAACAAAACAAATCGCAATAATAGGTACAACTCCAATTTACATGTCAGTAATGTCTATTCTACAAGTCTTAAACTACAAAAATGAACAGACACGGTACCTCATGTGGATGGATACCTTACGTTGCTGATGCGTAAGTATACTTCAATTACCCTACTGTGGGACACAATCTACCTACCTACTTAGTAGTCCAGACGTTCTACATTTATCACAACTGTGCGAACGACACATTGTTCAATAACATTACTTATACATATATTTCTATGCCTGTAGTATGCGCTACAGCATTTACCGTATTAATCACGCAAGGTCAGCGTCTGAATTTTGTTTGCTGTACTAAATAAATCCTAAATAATGTTACAAATGCGAAAGTGAGTTTGTTTGTTCGTTACGCTTTCATTTCTTAACCACTGAACCGATCGATTCCCATTGAATATCTCATACAATATGACAGTAGTACATAAATGGAACTTTCTTCCCCAAAAACTAACTATTCCGAAAGGAATAGATGATATAACTGTTATACAATCGAAGCCGAGAGTGAAAGCTGGAAGTAATATTAAAACTCAAGTGAAGTAAACATAATATAAATTAACAGGTAGTGACTCTTTACAAAAAGAAAGTAAAAAAAGCAAAATATTAATGTTTAGTATCCTTTCATGTAGGTAAACGTAAATACGTAATATTTCTACCGAGAATACTGAAAGTCTGAAAGTCAACGATGCGTAGTGAATCAAATCGCGAATCTAATAAATAAAACTTACTTTCGTGAGTCATGTTTAAACGCTAAATTATCTTAACCCAATATCAGATTGCCTGAAATCTGTTTGACTTCATAACTTTGAATACAAAAATTATATGACGAGGAAATGACGCCAACAGTGAGGCCATTGTTATTTTGGCGTGTGACTAAATCCAATGTCAGAATAATCTTAATACATTGGAACGCATCTGCTATTTCAGTATTTATTTAGCAGATTGTTACGTGCAACTCAGCATCTTAATATAACTCAATTGGGCTATAGTAAAGACACTACTAATTCATTTTATTAAGATGGTAAATATAGCTTTCTTTTTTCGTAGCGGCTAACAAAATAATGTAACATTGAATTATCTTATAAGAAGGTCTATAAATTGTAATACTGTAACATTAATGCAAGCGTTGCAGATGTGTGTAATAGTCATTCGAATCCAGTTCTCGTGAACATCTGGCGCGGTGGCCTCAATCAACGCCATTTTCGCCATGTTAGGCAAAACAACCATTTCCCATCAAGATCTGTGTAGCACGCACGCTTTGCCTGATTTACTGCACAGGAAGCCCTCAATTTGACTCTCGACGAACCACAATCAAAGGATGTACCTAAAGGAATTTATGCGACTGATTACACTGTGGCGCAATAGCAACCAATAATGATTGTAGGTGGACACTGTCTGAATATAATTTGTTTGTGTTGAGTCGTTCAATGTTAATTTATCTCGGGAGGTTTGGTGTGGAGGGAATTTGAATGGGCCGGCGATGTGTCAGTTCAAGTTTCGGGTTTGAATTAATGAGGATCGGATCCGCTCCATTCCATTTGTTGTCAGTGGTAATTAAAGAATACGACGCCTACACATCTGTTATTATTACTTTGTGATCCTACCCACTTTCGTGAAGGTATGTTATATTGTTTTAAGGAAAAATTTCATAGGAATACATAGCGACAGTCAGTTTTCAATCAAAAATAATCGAGCGATGATCAAAACAATTCAGGGGAGGTCTGTGAAAACAGCAGTTGCACTTTCGCATGCTTTTGCCCTATACAAATTTAAAGCAGAAAAACTGTTGAAAACGCCGATCGTATCGCTGACTCGACAACAACATGCAAATTCGCCACTCGAAATGCAACGTGACATGATGTGGGGGGAGGCAGCATTCCTAGCGAGCGGGGCTGCGCGGGGGCGAGCGGCGGTCATCGACCGTCCTCAGGCGGCCGCGCATAAACTACGCAGCCGCAGAAGGTCAATACAGCGCGCGGCTTCCACGACCGGTCTCGGTCTCCGTCACCGGCTGCTTCTCGCGACTACGTTTCGAAACCAACTATTGTTCGAGTTCGAAAATCAATTACGTAGCCAAATTTAATTTGTGTTGTTGAGTAATAGGTACATTATCTAAAAATCATTGGACGCAATCCAGTTTATTGTCGCTTGTCGCCACCCGGACTATGAGGAGACCGCTTTTACAATGCGATTAAGCTCGAGCCAGCGTCGAGTGAATGAAGCGATTTCGCTATACATAAAACGTACATTTTAACGGATTACGACGTTTTTCTGCATGTGTTGCGTCATCGCGCAAACAACGTGCCAGAAGTAGAATCACCTGATATGATGAATCATAAGTGGCTATATTTCATATGACCATAAATTAAGTGCAATATGTACAAAAGTAATCCTATAAAAATAACATGATAGGTAACTATATTTACCTTCATTTTGCCTCGAGTCAACAGGACCTGTATGACGTAGGAATCAAATAATTTTCTCAAGTAATATCACACATAACTATACGTGTAAACAAAGATAAGGTTAATAGAAATAAGTTGTATTTTAGTTATGACTTAAGATAAATATACAGAATTGTTCAAATATTCCGTGCAGAGCAGCAGACAGCACCACTATTTATAAATCCAAGATTTGATGCAAGATTACAAGCTGTATGTTTGACTTAAACATTTAAGTGACTATAAAGACCAGCGATGACTTCATAACAGCGCTACTTACGATGTTGATTTAGCAAATTGTGTATTTATAAGACCTTATATGTATAAATGATAAAATATAGTTTTGTAATTTGAAGCTAACTTGCTTTTAATATGCTTATAAATACTCGACTATGTCTTGTGTAAATGAGGTGTTCATTGTTTTGACATCCGCTTGCTTTACATACATTGAATTTACGTCCGCTAACTTACCGCTGATTTAATAAGTTCCTTGAAAGTATACAGACGTGACGCAAGTCATATTTATGAGTTAGTTTCTTACATTATATGTAACGATTGATAGGCCATTACGAGGGCGCAAAATTAACGAGCCGCATAAAAGATAAAGGTTTCCAAGTATCCACTTAATACATCGAGAGGCGCGCCATTTGCCAAAATCCTGATTCATGTTCTTTTCTTGAAAAACAATATGTCGCATTCAAAATTTTCGAAGAATCTATTGTCTTCGACTTTATTTAAATCGATTTAATCAAATTCGTCACAGGTATATATATATAGCTTGAAATAAGGCGCGCCGTCTCTGAACAACAAAACAGACTTACTTTCATATCCAGCCGTCCAGGACCACATGGAGACCATCGCCAGCAGCCAGTGATACATGAGTCCTTCGAGCTTCCAATAGAGAGATTTGCAAATAGGTTTGACCATGCGCAGCGCCATCATCCACACCACGTAAGCCGGGACGCAGTATAAGTTGTTGACAACCGCGAAAGTCGTTCGCGCCACGATCCGCACGTACCGGCTGAAACAGCAGGGCCGCGTAGGTTCATCCATGACCGTCTCGCCGCGCCGCGCATACCTCGGTACCCTCGTGGGCTGGGCTCAACGCAACGACATACACATGATTGGTGATATGAAATGTGACGTGCTGGACACCACAGTTGAGTGACACCACCGATAAGGGTTCGAGATCGAGCGAGACGAGGCGGGATGGCACCGTACCGCGTTCACCCTGCCGACAGCTGCCGAGACGCGGGGGCTTTCGTCTTGCGCTGACAATGGCGCTGCACACGACCGCCAACGACAATCAAACACAATTTTATATTCGACGATATTTATTTATTGGAATCGTTCAGGGCATCACTGTCGGATATTTCTTTAAGTAGTGAGTACAAATTTTAAAATCGCCCGTCGGCGAGCGAAACCGTCGCTCGCCGGCGAGCTTACATGCGATTTCGTTTGCGACACACATTTTACACCGATCGACGTAACATTAACTCGTACGATGCGAGCACACATAGACAGACATACACAATTTTTATTACGATGCTTACTGGGGCACGACCGCGGCCGGCCGAGCTCGTCGTGTAAAATTAATACAAATTTCATTATATAAAATTAAAAAACGACATCGGACCGCAGAAATGATACAAAAATTACAATATTAATGACTGTACACTATCTAATATATACAATATCTGCCAGCATAGATATGTGCGGGGGCTTTATATACAGGGCGGTGGGGTTGTCATGGGCTCCCACACGAGGCGATCACACGTTATAGTCATGCGCGATCAGCCCGTGCACCTGCTCGAGGCGGTACGCGAGCCGCTGTTTCTGCGAGAACTCGTCCTCCTCGAGGGTCACCGTTAGTTGCTCGTTGTACCTCTCTGCATACGCGTACAGCTCGTTCAGCGCACAGTTCGTGTTAAACTCCTTAGTATGGAGGCGCGACTCCTCCGCAAGCATGGCGTTCATGTCCTGGTCGGATATCGCAGGCATTAACTTTATATCCGCATAATAACGCTCCACCCACTCCTTGTAAACCGGTATGTCTTTCGCGTACAAAAGTTTGGACGATGGGGAATCTTTACCAAGAATGTGATCTGAAGTTGAACACGAGTCCATGAAAGTTTGCGCAATTACTGATAAGCAAGAATCTACCGTGTTAGACTTATGAACATCAAAGACAAAGTTAGGATTCTTAATTAAATTCACCCAAAAACGAAGCGGAAGGGAATTACTCTTCCAGGTGTGCACCACTTCGGGATCGGAAATAGTGTGCTGCAACGCCTGATCGTCGAGGAAGTCAAACATATACTTTATAGCGAGTGGAAGAGCCGAGCCGCGGTGCGCAGTGCTAAAAATAGTCTCGAATAAATCATCGACAAATTTTTGCAGAGTGCCCTTGGTGGCGAGAAGACGAGTGAGATATATTTCTGAAACCATTTTATTGCCACGATCTCCCTCTTTGCGCGCGTCATCGTCATGGTGTCTTACCAAATGCCAGTATTTGAAACCACCGCCGTGTTCGTATTTAAGAGGGCTTGCAGGTGGACTTGCCGAACCGTATTTACCGCGGTTGAGAGTTTCATATGTATGAGATTTGTCATTCTTCTCCATGTTTGACAGATTATATACGGAACTTTGTTTCGCGACGAGACTAAGACAGGCACCGTCCGGTACGCGGTAATGATTAAGAGTATTGAGTTTACGCCATTCGCCTTCGCATTTAGTAGTGGTGTCCTCATCGTAGAGGATCAAGCGACCGCAGGTGCCCGTACGCCATTCTAAGTCGAGGTCATCACGACTTGGTCTTTGTGAGTACGGAGTTGCACGGTAAATTGCATCTAAGCACTTCTCTTTTACTTGACTTATTGTATCACAGTCGAGAACTTTAACTTGAACGTTTTCAGTAGTAGCCTCTAAACCACTAACAAACAATGTCTGTTGCGATATCGACACGGTAACCGTCATGTGTTTAAAATCTATAGACTGCCTAATTAACTTTTCCTCGCTAAGGGAATATCGAGCCTCTGATGTAATCGCGTCTACAGGTCCTTTATCAACCTGACCCTTCATTGACCTAAATAATAGATATAATGGTTCGCCAGCACACTCACGAAGAAATTTATATAATAGGAAAGTAAACCAAGCGCTCAACATTTTTTCCGCAACACTTTCGGTGCGCCTCAGCAACAGCTTGGGATGATTCTTTCCTTCCATACACTTTTCTATTAACTCTGCTAATAACGTCTTTAAAACATCAGTACAATATTCCATTTTACTCTGAAGAGTAACCATAATAAGAGAAGCTACATTAACACGATCACGCATTGAAAAATATCTATTGCTTTCTAAAGTACGAATAAATAATAAAAGGAATGTTTTGTTCATAATTAACTGGCCAAACATTCGGAGACCTTTCTCTTTTCTAATAAGCTCTGGACGCTCCCATTGCAGGACGGCATGGTCGTCGATGTTAGGGAACAATATTTTCATGGCGTACGTGCGATAATCTAAGAAAGGTATGCCACCCGTCACGTCTCCAGTTAAATCAGTCATTTCTGTTTGCAACTCTGCAAACGCCTCCTTGCATTCAGCTGCTACTCTTAATTCTAAAATATCCATTTGCTCCTGCATATTCTTCAAAACTCTAATATTTTCAGTAGATTTCCTCCTATACATAACCAGAAATCCGAAGAATATCACAAGGAGAATGCCGGCGCCTATAATAATACCTATTAAGGCTGGCTTTCCTAAAGCTGCTTGCAGTCCGGCCTGCGATGAATAAGATAATTTGCCAATCTTGTACGTGAGAGCGCGTCCAACTTTGACTATTACTTCGGGTGTATCTACGCCGTCGGGAAGTTCATCGCGCGATGGAGGACGGCAAGTTAATTGATGTCTTGACACCGATGTCACATTACACATACTATCTCCTATGTGAACTTCTACATCACTCTCAGTACAAGCCCTATCCAAGTTTTGACCATTAATAGTTAAATATTCAGACTTATAATACTTCACATCTTCATCGAATTTTTCATAAATAGGATCTGGGTATAGAAGGAAAGCTTCGCCCGTCTTGCTGGTGAGGTTTTGCACGCTTTGAACATCATCCATATTAAAACCGTACTCTAATTCTAAGGGTCTATCGGGATCTAGATTGAGACTAGCACTTTCTATACCGGGAGATTCACAAATGAGATGCGATTGATCAACTCTGTGACAGGGAGCAATGTAAGGTCGATTATCGTGATACACGTATATCTGCGGAAATTGAATGGTATGGAAATTTTGTCCGGTTACTTTGATGTTTATCCCTCCGGACGGAATGCCCTTAGGTTGTTTTCTTTGCGTCGTTAATGGCGGTCCAGACTCTACGGAGGCGACAATAGGATCCTCCATATATTCAAACTTTTCTCGTTCTAAAGTTCTCATGCCGTTATCGAAACGCATCCGAAGCGTGCCCATTTTATTTTGGTAGGAGTGGCTAGTTCTACAAATGGCTTCATCGTGCGACACAGACAGAATAGCACATGGCAAATCATCTATGAAGGCCTGTATGTTACTGCCCGCATCAAGATATTCGCCTGTAATACGTAGTTTTGTGCCACCCGATTGAGGACCGTATTTGGGTTGAATAGAATTAAGTTTCGGATTAACAAACGCATAATGATATTTTGATTCGCCGCGATAATCTGCTACACGAACTACCACGGGACCATCCCGTGGCACTTCCTCACCCGGACCATCTACAGTACAGACAATTTGCTTAGTTTTTACGTAAAGCTCAATAATCGGTTGACATTTAATTCCAGCAATCGTAACGCCATTATAGATATCGGATATATTACGACCTAAATTTATACCTTCAATTGTAATATTAGTGCCTCCATCCCATGGACCTGACTTGGGCTTAAACGAGTGAATTTCAGGATTAGGACATGTCTGAGTACGATTTAACCACACACTGGGCACACCACATTGTTCTTGTACTTCACATCTATCTGATCCTTGACACCAACCACATCCAAATTTCTCTGGGAGCGCTAAGCACATACCACAATTATCTGCCATATCATTACAACGGTATATAAGAATGTGAGTATTATCCGGATTGTCTAAAGGTTTCGATCCTCCCCATATGACAGCGAAAGAGGCGGTGATATTTGGAGCACGCGACGTATACGTAAATTCAACGGCTTCACAGTAAATAGTGTCAGCAAGAAGTTGAGCGTTAACATGAGTCACTCGCCCCTCTATATTAAATTGACAAACGAATCTCGTCTGAACGATAAATTGACCTATTATGTGAACTTTTACTTTTATGGCTTTCTTAACACCGGATGGAACTAAAATCTCGTTGGTGCCGTCGGACGTTGAGTTTATAGTTGGACAGAAACCCGGACCGGAGCGATAACTGGGACCGATTCTACTGACGCCGGTCACTAATATATCATTCCGACAGTTTTCGGCAGTGTCATGTGTACAACGGTGACCGTCTACACACCAATCGCAAGGAAATGAGGAGCTAACACATTGCGTGCACGAGCTGTACGTATTGCAGTCGAAAAAGGTAAAATTGGTAGCAACAAAATCGGGTCCCTGTGTAGTGCGCACCGACAATTTTGCTGTAAAGTGATGTTGACCGGTGGGGATCGATGGAAGTGTGTCGGTACGCGGGGTGGTACAGTTAACACCATATGGCTTCCTAGTAGCATTCGTAATAAGAGTACGATCTAAAGCTGTAAATGCACACAAGAATTGTCCATTAAGCGTGGGCAAGTTTTCTATAAGTAAATCTAATGTTCTAGCAGTCGTTCGTTGCAATTGATTTGGTGTCACTTGGGTGATAGTAGTACATCGACCGCTACGGTATGAAATCCAATACAGTGGATCTTTAGCTGCTTCCTGACAGTCCGATCGCAAACTGCACTTATTCTCTAAAGAACACCATCCACAATATGGGTCTTTGGCTCCGAGACACGTTAAACACGATTTATATACGCTGCACTCTTGAACTTTCACTTTAGACACTTTACGTTCAGTCATTACATATAAATGCATAGATTGAGTATCGAAATATAAGTCTTTGTTGACAGCAGAACCTTCGTCGACGACGATGTCACCGTACTCGAACGCGGACGTCGCGCTCTCGACGACAATTTTCTTGAGGTGACCCTGTGCGGTGCCGGCGAATACAACTGTGTAGTCACCGGTAGCCGTAGCTGCCACTGCCGTTAGCCTCTTTGAAAATATAGCCACTGGTACCGCCTCCACTGGTTGCTCGCCTCCTAAAGGAGTATTCACGTCTAATCCACAGAAATCTTCGCTTATCGATTGAAGCTTTGTCCCTATACATGAATGAGATGGTGATATAAAATCAAGTCCTCTAGAACCATTGCCGCTAAAGCATGTCTTTATATTCTGCATGAACTTACGTCGGATTGCTTTCAGTGAATAGACACAGAGCGCGGACAAATCCGAAGGAGTATTAGTGTTGATAGACTCACTCTGACTGAAAGAAGCGAACAGCACTTCATGTTGAGCAGTGATGCCCAGTTCTCCAGCTAACACTGATCCAGCTTTTCCAACAAACGCTGCCTGAACAAGGTTGTAACCATAGTTTCCGCCTCCTTCTCCCGTACATGACATAGGGATCTCAGTATAGGAATAATAATTCTCATCGTCATGGCATACTCGAACTAGTTTGCTGTAATATGTATCTGAGCCCACACCTCTCAACTGAGTCGTCAAAAAGTAACTAAATCCATCAGAGCTGAAGCCGTAAACGTAATTAATTGGATACCGTTCACGGGAAAGGGAATTGACAAACATTCTTGTTCCAGTGGTAACTGCTGTTCTAGCTATCATAAATAGACGATCATCTTCGAGTGAGCGACTACTTACAGTAGGAACTTCCGAACGGTAGGGAGAGTTGCCCGTGAAAGTGACGCCCACGTACATAACTTGGGTCATAGGTGGATTCGGCGGTCCCGAAGCAATAAACGCCACAGTGGAGGCGGTGGCGTTATTTGCAACAACAGGTTCGCGGACCTCGCGCACATCAAGAGAGATATTATTCAGATTACGTACAGAACACAGCCCTTGCAGCACCGAACCGCACGTAATGAGGCGGCTGGTAGCGTAGTCAATCACTAAGGCTTTGTTCACATTGTCTGTAGGCTTCTTCACATAATTAGAAGGACAATCGAAGGTGCAGAGGGCAGAGTCGTTAACGGGGCCCGTAACGATCGACTGGGCAACCTCCAGGTCCGGAGATAACTGGTAGATTCTGTTCACGGCGCCGATGTACACCCGGCCAGTGTTGCGATCGACGGCAAGGTGATTGAAGAACGAGAAAGGTGCAGACACCGGGTCGGTGAAGCTGAGCACCACATCTTGAGAGGCGCGCGCGGCAGCGCACGCGGCCCCGAGGGCCAGCAGCACGCGCCACATGGCGCGAGCGCATGTGTGCGGCACTCTACCGGCCGCGCCGCCGCCCACTCGTCGAGCTGCAGCCGCCCGCCCGCCCCATACATCTGCAACGCGATACATCCACTGAGGCGCACTGTCCGCGCCACTCTCTCCGCTTCGTTCCCAACGCACCGCACCGCTCCAACGCCTGCTACTCGACTAAGTGCTACAATGGTCCAGTGACGCCTGTTAACGATTCTCTGATAAGGACCTATCGCGTGTTTACGAGTTTGCAATGATAGCATTCCGCGGCATAAACGAGTCCGCGTATCGGCTCGGAGAGGTCCAGTGCGGTCGGAGCGAATACACCAGCGGGACGCGCGCTGACCCTGATCCCAAATAAACGACACTGGTACTAACCTATCTTAATATTGTTGGCAGTGTTTAAAATACAGCTTATGAATAATCTATTCAGTGATTATTATTTTATATTTTTTTTCAGATTTAAATTTAATTATTTTTTAAGTAACTTCTAAATTTTCAGCTTCGTATTTAAACAAAATTATATAGAGCATGTCTTAGTCATATAACGGTGACTAATCAATGAAACGGTTAAAAATAGGTTAGTACCAGGATAGCGCGGGCGACCCCGACGCGGTCAGTGCACTGATACAAGTCACACGCCGACGAAAGCCTCAGCATCATCATAAAGGGGGTTAACTAAAATAATAATTTGGCATGCTGTTCGCAACGAGGGAGTGAACGTGGTAGCGTAACGATAAAATAATGAAAAGAAAAAATCGGAAGAACGAAAAACATCAAGAAATAAAAGAAAGAGTATTGTATACTTACAGAAATGCCATTGTGGTGTACGATGCTGGCTTCAAGAGTGTATTTGTTCTATATTGAGATCATAAGCATGTAAAGCGCACTCTCATAGTGCGGTAACAGCGGCGCAAGCTCGTTCGTAGTCGAGACCTGAAACAACAAACGTCATGTTTTTAAAGCCCGTTTGGGCTCAGTTCGAGCGATGTTTTATGATCCGTTATTTTAACCCTAAAATGTGACGCGAATATTAACAATTTTGTACGATGTTAATTTTGATGTTATCTCTAATTTAAGTTTCTCTTTTATTAAAAAAAAATATTGTTCTATCTATAATATAATTTATTTTATAGTAAATATCAGTACAACGTAGTGAAGAGAGAAGATTCAACGCTATATGGATACGACTCCTCTTTTTGGGATAACTTGTTCATAATGTTACTTCTGTTTAATTTTAACACAAAATATATATCAATTATATAAAAGAAACATCTTTATTGTTCTTTACGGATTATGAAATAAATATTACCCAACGTAAGATGGTAACTAGTAAGTACTGTGAAACACTTTCAACTATGATTTAGATTTAGGTATGTCAGAAAACCTTGTAAGTGTTATAAAGTCTTAGTCTATGTAGTAAATGGAAAAAAAAACGTCAATTCACTGTAAAATATTACTGAATATCCTATATTTTCTTTGGACGTCTAGCCCAAATGTTTCGTTGTCAAACTGAACATATACGTCATCCACTGGATTTTCGTGCTGATATCATATGGTATGCGACCTACTTTAATTCTTGTTTAAGGAATTAAGTTGTTTACTATTTTATTTTAAAGACTTATTGTTTCTTGCGATGTTTTGACAAGTTGCGAAAAAGTTATGTGTAAATATTTTAAAAATTGCAGCTTTCTTATTAACTATTGTTTAAGACAAAAAACTATTTAGAGAATGCGAACTCCTCCTCATGCGAAGTCCGTTAAAAAAAGGTTATTTGCTTTTATTTGTCATTCTGTAGACCAAGAAGTACTCACAATTGTATGATTTAACAAATATGAAAATAACAAGAAAATTACGTAATAGTGTGATTAACTAATAGTTCTTATCTCGCAAAGGCGGAAGTAAACAGCTATTCAAAATGTGTACCTAATTTGTACAATGAATGGTAATATTCTGTTGTTTTTACACATTATTGTTTGTCATAAAAATAAAATCTAGATAAAAAAAAACACGAAGTAATTATGTACTTACCTATAAACGCATTCTATTTTTTTAGGTTACCTGTTCAATATAGTTAAAATAAAAGAAATAGATAATAATTAAAATACCGTATTAGTAGAAATGTATAGATTCACATTGTGTAATAGTTGTTATAATAAAATCTTGAAGAGTTCCAAAAGCCAGGGTTCGAAAAGGTTTTTTTCATTTCTTTGAAATTATCATGAATCAGAAATTATACCCACACTACCAATATTCACGTACAGTAACAACATCGACACGGCATTTATGTACAATTTTACATGTTTATCTTAACTTTACGACTTAATAGAATTTATTTATTTATTCATTCATTTAAGAATTCATTAATCTATGGCCAACGAATAAAGGTTTATGGGAAATAATCCACATTAGAAGGCTTGTTTACCTACAAAATAAATGGAAAAATATGACAATACCATAGTTTAAATTTTGTACAGCCAAATGTTCCAGTAAAAAACCCGCCTCTGGGTTAAAATCATTTTACTGATTTATATACGTTTTTTAAAGGTTACTAAATAAAGATACATGTAGTTAAAACTTTTTAGATATAAACACTAGATGATGTTTTCAATTCAATAGTTTGGCGGAAAATGATCTTATTAAATATTAAAATAGTTCCACACTAAATTAGTTTTTCGAATAGACATACGCAACGCTGCAGCACAAACGACGGCCGACCGGTCTACTAGGCATGCTATGCCGCAACATTTTGATTACATTCTCTGCGTCCTGTGTCCACCCACTAAATAAAATCTATAACTAACATCAATTTTTAACATAAAATACCGATCACCTCCAGTCTTTTTATTAGTACATATCCCCTATTTTCGATAGTGTGTACGAAATCCCTTCTATAAAGAAAAGAAAGTCAGCCATTAACGCGCACGCGAGTCGATAAACGGAAGCCATTCCAATGAACGCCACGCGTTCCTTCTTCTCTAATACAACGTTGTAGCATGGATAATTGGAACTTACCTTAGTACAGATAATCTCTTCGCTGGTAACAACAATCCTTATGAATCCAGAATAAGTGGAACTGCCGTGAACACAATTGCACCACACACAATATTCTTTGTATAATTTTCACTTATTCGTAATGGAACACAATCACCACAAGCAGTTGTAATCACATTATACTTATAAAAATATCTCTGTCGGATATGAAAGCCCGTTACAATGAGTAAAATTGCACGTTTGCACAAGGAGTCCACGACAAGAGCATCAGTCTTCGTACATCGCCGTGGAATGATTTTAGTTTCGCTTTTCGAACGAGTCTAGGCGTGACTGAGCCGAGTAAAAGCCGAACATAGCCGATTCCTGGATTTAGTACCCTTGCTTCGCCGCTAGAGGCTCTACTGTAGAAAACGTTTATGATGCGTTCTGAATATAGTAAAATAGAGATATTTAATAAAATCCAGACATTTACTTTACTAGACTTAAAAAAAGTTTATAATTCACTGGCGTTAGCAAATTTTGTTTGTAAAGCGCGCGGAAGAGAGCAAGTTGATCTTAAGCCTCCCAAAGTACTTGCTTTTGAATTTAAGCGATTGAAAGATTTATCAATGTCTAGAAGTTCCATTCTGATTCTGACATAGCACGGAGCCAGAAATGCTAAATTGAATTAATTTATCAGAAGACTGTTAAAAAATTTGTGAGACCTCCATGTAACAACATGCAACAACAAGTTATCGTTTGCGGTATTTTCCGATAACCTTTAAGAAAAGAGCGTGCTCCTTCCGAAAAGGCCGGCAACTCGTTAGAACTCCTGAGTACGACTACTCATGTATGACACTACTTTCCATCAGGTGACCCGTCGTATCGTCTGAACCCTCTTACATAAAAACAATAAAATAATAATAATTTGGTATATCCGTGCTATGTCAGAATGCTTTAATTCGAATGTACAAACAAACACGGTTTTACTTTAACTTACGTAGGCGAGTTTAAACTTATTGCTGTCGATTAGACAGAAAAATTGGGTTATATAGAATGGAAAAGAATATAAAAGGCAATGACAGTTACATGAAAGAAATTTTAATTAAACGAATGGATTGAAAAATCTAAGCAATGCTAAGTTCGAGGAGGTTATGGTCGCATTCCTGTTTACTTACAAAAATACAAACAATATATATTTACAAATTCATGGTAAGGTGTTTTTATATGTTAAATTAGACAAAAAAAACTATACAAAACCTAAAAGAAATTCTACCTAACATGTTTCATTAACAATACAGACAACCACAGAAATCAAAAAAGATTCCACTGTGCCATAGACAATCCATGTCAAACTACAATTTAGTATATTTTTACTCATCTATACTTCACTTTTCCGTTTGCTTGTCAAATCTTCTGTTTTTAGAATAAGTGAAATTTAGAAAATCTAAGTACCTAAAAAAATAAACTAAAAATTCCTTACATCATGGCTATGTCAATGTTTAAATTATCTTCCGCTTTAATTCAGTCTTCTAAGCAAGTCCGATGCTTAGCTGGCTTAGACGGTCGTACTGCAAAATGCAATATTTCCACCACTCATGTGAGACCGGTACGTACGTTGCATAATCTTACATTTTCCTTAAAATAATCTCTGTAGAATGAAAACCTTAACTAACATATTTTTATGTCTTGCCTTGTTTTCTTAGACTATTTTTAATTGTAGTTTATGTAATAGGACCTCTTAAATTTTAGTAGGACAATGAATATATCACTGTGAAACATAATATATGTTGCTAGTTTAAAAAGGTTCACCATAAAATATTGCTATTATATATGAAATGCTGTTTTAACAAGAGACGTGTTTAGTATTCTTAAATTTTTTAAGATTAACTCAAAAAGAATCCACGCAAACACTACACTAGTTGGTAAAAACAAAAATTTGATATTATAAAACATAATGTGTGTAGTTTAACTATACCCTGAAGCAGGGATGGAATAAAATCACAATCACATATATCGTCACAGACAAAACGCCTGCTACTTAATTATTATTAAGCTAGTGCAAGACTTACAAACGGTCTAAATCTACAAAAAAAAAGACTTGATTGATTTTATCTTTGTCAATGACACAATTACAATTCAATTCTTTTAATGATTATTGTTTTACACATTAATACCAAAACCCTTTGTGAAGTTAAACATTTTGCTGATCCAGATAGAGGACTTATGATGATTGCACAGAACAAAAGAAGTTACATTCTACTGCAGCAATACAACAAAATTTTTCTACTGCAGATTTATGAATTGGTATTAACTATTTCGTAATCAGTACAAAAATTCTTTCAAATGTATAATGTTTTTAATTGTATTCGCTAAACTATATTAACAACTTTAGACATGAAACGCATGGCTGCCGATTCCAAATTAGGCAGTGCCTGTGTTATAATAATTAGACTGCTTATAAACACTGCATGCATATTTTTAAAAACATACATATTATTGATAAATAACATCATACAAAATTCTTGTATGTGGACCTTGTTAAGTAAAAAAGGTCTAACCAAGGATTACAAGTATTTTTTTTATTATTTAAAACATTCCGTTAATTTTTTTTTTAAACTTTACAATTTTATCTGAATAGCATTGGTGTGAATATATTCACAACTTGAGTAAAGTTAACTAGGATATCTTATACATACCCCTTTATTATTAAGAAAATTGGGATATCATCATCAACAGCCTGTAATAGTCCACTGCTGGACATAGGCCTCACCTTAGAAGGGAGGTTTTGGCCCACTATACCACGCTGGCCAGACGGGTTGGTATAGGGCTTTGCAGTGCTGTTGTCCTGCATAGTTTGCTCCCTTAGGCGGCTCTTACGACACCCACGGGATGAATAGGGGTGGTGACACTTCGTATTCTGAATCTGTCACCACACAGACATTGGGGTATACACCTAATATATTGGCGTTCAGTATTTTCAACCAAAATTGACTTTTTCTTTTGGTCGTCATAAACTGCTTGACTGCTTATGAAACAGTCTGAATGAAAACAAAAAATGAGAGTAAATGTTAATTTCTCACTAAAACTGGATGAAATAAATGATACCCATAAAAGTTATTGGTTGGTCTGTTGGTCTAGTGGTTAATGACCCTGCCAGTTGCCAGCATCCTGAAGCCAGAGGTTGTGGGTTTGATTCCCACTGAGGACAACTAATTGTGTGATGAGCATGGTAATTCTATGTTCTGTTATGTGTTTGGGTGTAATTTATCTATAATATGTATGTATTTAGAACTATATGTACAATTTGGGACCAGACAGCCGTGTGCGAGATGTGTCAAGTTTTTATTATTATTATTCACTTTGATAGACACACATCATACACCAATTTTTGACACCATTCATTTTCTTTTACGTCCATAGGATAAAAAAAGTGCTGCTTTTGTTAAAAAAAGTAGTTTTAATGAAAAATTCAACCACACGACGTCATACACTGAAAATCTGTTAAACCCAAATAATGAAATTTGAACTTTTGTGCTGGGGCAACGCACACAAGTCAGGTTACCAGAACCCCAAACCAAACCTATTAAGAATAGGGAGACTCAAAGGGTGGTCACATACTTGTGTCTCTTGTCTCTCTTGTGTTACAGGAGTTCTTGGGCGGCGGTAGTCGCTTCCTATCAGGTGACTCTTCTGCTTATTTGCCTACTATACCATAAAAAACTTTTTAAAAAAATATGAAATGAAAAGACCCATAATTTATTTTGAAAATTATATGTCAGATTACATTGACATTTTATTAGCCCCGGATCTACGACTTTTTCGAACCGGGTCAGAAACTTACAGCGCCCAGCGTTTGAAATAAATAACTTAATAAAACTCACAAATATATACTATAAAGGTGGCATTTTTCGTGATTGGGTTATAACAAAATATTGACCCTTTAATAAATTTGCACTCTAATTTTTTTTACCCTATAACTTTTTCAAACGTGTGCTGCATGCTGGGCGATTTGTTGAGCAAGTTTTTTTATTTTAAACCGTATTATGATTTTGGCGCCCCCTGAAACCCGGCCGAAGCAGGTGCTCCAGCTAGATCCCCCCTAGATGCCCCCTCCTTAGATCTGCGGCTACATTTTATCTTCAGGAGCATTCCTCATTCGGCACCAATTTTTCAGCACCCGTGGTTTTAGCACCAAACTCATATACCTATTGGTGCTGTAAGGGGAATGCTTAGGTGCTGAAAAAATTGGTGCCGAAAGAGGCATACTCCTATCTTTAAATATCAAAAAATGGTCTTGCTTGTATATAGAAAGAAAAACCAAGCAAAAAAGGCTCCCTCTTAACTTCTACAAAAGGCAAGTATGGCATAGCATCCATTGTTCGCTAACTTTGCCTGCCTATCTGCTAAATACTTACTTATTTGTTCTGGAACGGGATAAAAAAATCAACACACGACGACAGGCAATAAAAAAATATTTTGACTAACTACAAGCTGCATAATTATGTGTAGGCAATCTTATTACGCTTTAATTTTTGATAATTCTTTCTTTTTCTTTTAAAAAAGTCCCGCATTAGTAATATATCCTCTGTCGCGGGGGACTTCACAAACACATGAAACGAATACAAAGAACACTCAGACTCAGAACAACAATTTGTGGATCACACAAATGGTCGTCCCATGTACGGTTTGAACCCACAACACTCGGCGTAGTAGGAAGCGGCGTGGCGACCGCTTAAACCACTACGCCGTCCGTGCAGTAATAACCAGAATAAAGTAGCTAAAACCAAAAATATTCAAATTAAGTTACCAAAGCCCTGGATATCCTTAAACCGGCCATATAGTAAAATCATTAACAGCTACTGTCCTATTAATGAACTATTAAGGTCAGTACACATCAGATAGTTTACACAGCTATCTAGTACTTACCAGAGACTAAGAATTATACGCTAGCTGTTGAGTCCTTATACCTACTAAATCTGACGCTGTCAACAATTTCGTCTTAACTGACATATTCTATCTATGATACACCCTATGACTTTGTTGCCTTTAGTCCAAAACGACAGGAACTTTCATATACCTACACTTACAAGATCCGGAATAAGGAGGTCTAAGGACCGTCGCTGTAGCAAATATGTTTTTTGTTACGTCCAAACAGTTCTATAGACAGAAAAGGATTTTTGTAAAAAAATCGAATTTACCATAGACCAAAGAGTTTAAACGTCCTTTAACTATTTTCTTTCAAAGACATGTCATATGACATTTAAAAAAATGCTGTCATAACATTGTAAATATAACGCGCAATTTTTACATTACCTTTTCAAAATTTTTAGTGCAATGGTCGTTGTTTTGATTTGATAAATTTTCAAGTAATTGTTCACCATGCTGTGTCCCAAATGTAAAGTAAATGCACAACCGGCATTACGTCTGTCGGTAGAAGGGAACCCTCCGCTAAAAAGAACCACGGTAAGAATCGCTAAATATATATTCACGCCTATATCCCCGAAGGGGAAGGGACAGCCATATGCCCACATTTTGCCGACTAAAATTTTAGTTCTTCTTACCTGAAAGGTATATTGCCGTAAAGGTATGTTTTGGCATTTGAAGGGAGAATTTGAAGTTCAATATGAAAGAGGTATTCCTTATACAGATTCGATTTATTAATAAAAACATGCTAATCATTTATATTATTACAAAAGTTCGACTATTTCGTTATAGTTGAATTTCATTTCAAATAATTGTTATTTATTTGAAATGGCTGCACTAAAATAACAACTAATAATCACATCCTTCATTTCACTTTAAGCGGCTATCAAACAAACACTGAATAATTTAAAATCTAAAATACATATAATTTTTCTTGAATTTAGGAATAATATTTAGACAATATAGTATCCAAATATGGTAAAAACTGTTTTGTTTTTTTTTTAGAAACCGACATTCTATGCTTATGGCGATTTAAATAACCACGTAGGTACTAATCTAATTAAGTGTCAATTTATTAAATAAATTGACGGTATGACGTTTGAAAGTGCAGGGTAACAAGTCCTACTCAATTAAAATTGTTTGGAGCTTAAGATTTTATGTAATAAACAATATGGTATTTTAAGGAAAAGATTTTATATTCATACTGAACGCACAAGATATTTGTTCCGTAACCGTAGGTACATGCATCTATCAATGCATTTAAGAACATCTTTATTTACTTTTTTGTCGAAATTTGTGCACTTTCGGAATACACAAGAAGGCATTTTATGAATTTCTTCGTAATAATTAGCACGTGCGCTCACTCAGAGGAATGGAGAATCTCCGTTCTACAGACTGTTTTTATATTTATTTATGTACATAGGATTATTTTCGTAATTCAAAAAAAAAGAATTATGTTCAGATTTGTACATAAATTGCTTCATTTTAAATTCTCCGGTTTTACGAATGTTGAGTTACCTAATAGCTACCGGCTGACTATTATTAAATGGTGTGCCATCAGTATTGTAAAAATACTCTTATAAATCGTACAATCAAAAATAAAAATAAATAATTTGAGTTGTTTTATATTCCCACAAGTTTTAATAATGGCTGACTGCTAAAATCGGAGCAAGCATAACAATA